CCTGTCTACCTACCTATCTACTTCTCTACTTTCCTACTTACCTACCTTCCCTCCCTCCCTTCTCTACGTTCCCTCCCTCCCTCGCTCCCTCCGTGCCTCCCTGCCTCCCTCCTTCCTTCCCTCCATCCCTCCTCTCCCTCCCCCTCGTCGTCGTCTCGTCGTCGTCGTCGTCCTCCTCCTCCTCTTCCTCCTCCTCCTTTTCCTTCTCCTCTCCTCTCCTCTCCTCTCCTCGTCCTCTCCTCTCCTCTCTCCTCTCCTCTCCTCTCCTCTCCTCTCCTCTCCTCTCCTCTCCTCTCCTTCTCTCTCCTCTCCTCTCCTCTCCTCTTCCTCTCCTCTCCTCTCCTCTCCTCTCCCTCCTCTCTCTCTCTCCTCCTCCTCTCCTCTCCTCCTCTCATCTCCTCTCCTCTCCTCCCCCTCCTCCTCTTCCTCTTCCTCCCTCCTCCTCCTCCTCCTCCTCCTCCTCCTCCTCCTCCTCCTCCTCCTCCTCCTCCTCCTCCGCCCCCTCGTCCTCGGCTCCTCGTCCTCTCCCTCCTCCTCCTCCTCCTCGTCCTCGTCCCCCTCCTCCTTCTCCTTCTCTCCTCCTCCTCCTCCTCCTCCTCCTTCTCTCCTCCTCCTCTCCTCCTCCTCCTCCTCTCCTCCTCCTCCTCCTCCTCCTCCTCCTCCTCCTCCTCCTCCTCTTCCTTTTCCTCCTTGTCGCGCTGGCCCCCGCGTCGCACCCGGCGCCCCCCTCCGAGGAGTCTCGGGGCGGATTTCGGCCGGCTTGGCGACGCACTCCGCGGCGCGGGGTGCTCACCTAGGCTTCTGCTAGTCTTTTCCCCGCCCTCGCCCCCTTTTTTGCCCCTCCTAGGGGCGCCGGCCCTTTTTGCCGCTGCCGGTCTTGTTGCTGCCCCCTGACCGACCGCTCGCGTCGCTTTCGCCCCTCGAGGGGCGGCGCTGGGGGGCGAGTGGCCCCAACCTCCTCGCCCCCGGCGTTATCTGTCCGAAGGTGGGCAGGGAGGGCTGTGTGAGCAGTCGGGGCAGGGTGGGATGTGAGAGACCACCGGCATCCCTGAGCCGTCTGCCCCCTCAGAGGGGCATGGCGGTGCGCCTCTGAGGCGCGGGGCCCGGGGGGCCCGCCGGCTGCGGCCCGCGGCCCGCGGCCCGCGGCCTGCGCCGGCGCGCGGACTCGCGGCTCCGACAGCGCATGACATGAAATGACAGTTTGAAGAGGGAGTGAAGCTGGAGCCCGAAACGCGGCAGGGCGGTGCCGAGATTCGCGCGTGCGAAATCTGGAAAACTGTGGCAGCGCCCTGTGTCGGTGTTCAGGAAGATGTGGGTCACAGCATGGGGCAGCTGGCGGGTCTGCGGGATCGCCTGAGGCGGCCGCCGCAGCTCGAGTCCCAGCTGCTGGGGCGGCCCGGGGCGACGCGAGCAGCGGCGGCGGGCTCTTGACTGGGAGGGGTGGTGCGGGGGCAAAACAACTCATTTGCTTACTTGGGGCCGCGTTCGACGACGGCAAGAGAGCCAGGGATATGCCGTTGTGGCTGAGCGTGCAGGTATCGTGGCCGCCCCGAAGCCCGGCGGGAGCCAGCAGCTTGCCGAGCGCGCCCGTCGGCCCCCCGAGCACGAGTCTCGCCGTGTGTGTCTTCGGCTTTCTCTTGGCGGTAGCGCTGGCTTTCCTGGGGACATGCTGTAGCGACGTCGCCGAGGAGTGCAGCTGGGTTGGCGAGGGGTGCCAAGTGCTGGGCCGCAAGGTGGAGTGCGGGGGAGGCCGTCAGGACCATCGTCCGCTGACAGACTTCGGAGAGGCGCGTCAGTTGCTTGCCCGCCATTTGGGTTGGCGCGCCTCCGCGAGAAATCGCGCGGATTCGATTCGGGTCACCAGATCGCCGAGTTTAGGCAAGGGTTCGGCGACCCCCTCAGGGCCTGGAGCCAGCTCCCTGGAGCTGGGGAGCCGTCTCCAAGCGCGTGGCCGCGCCGTCAGCCCAGGCATTCCCGACGGCGCGCGCATCGCCGTCGCCGGGGCGCCGGGGCCCGATCGGTGGCCTGCGCGGCGGGCGGCCGCGGCGGCGGAGGAGGCGTGCGAGGGGCCGCGCCGCGGCTGAGTGGGGCCATCCGGTCGCCGTCGCAAGCTGCGGCGTGACGGCGGAGCCTCTGGGCTGCACTCCGTCGGCTTCGCGGGCGCTCCGGCGCGAAGCGGGGCTGCCTCCGCGACCCGACCGCGTGGCTGGCGGCGCCGCCCTCTGGGCGTCGGGGCTGAAGTCGGCCGGCGCCGCGAGCGCCCGACGAGCGGGTGGGTCCGCGGCAGACGGAGGGGGCGGGGCCCCAGAGACGCCAGGGGGGGGGCGGAGATCCGTGGGGCCGAGGGGCCCCGATTGGCGAAGCGCGCGGAGAGGCGACGCGCGGGGGGGGGCTTTTTAGAAGGCAAGGGGCCCGAATGAGAATGGCGTTTTTTGTTGTTGTTGTTTTTTGTTTGTGTGTTTTTTGTGTCCAAAAAAACGGCCCTCCTTTGTCAGGTATTCGTTTTGAATAGGGCGCTGTGGTCTCCGCGTCCTCCTTCCCCCCCTCCCGCCCCCCTCCTCCTGCCCTTGCCTCTTGCTTATTCCCTGCCCTCCTTGGTTGGTTATTCTTTTTGAATAGAGCACTGCTCGCGCGTTCTTCCTCCTCCTTCCCACCTCCCTCCTCCTGCCTCCTCCTCATCCTCCTTATCCTTCTCCTCCTCCTCGTCCTCCTCTTCCTCCTCCTCCTTCTCTCTCTCTTTCTCTTTTGTTTGTTCTCTCTCTCTCTCTCTTTCTCTCTTTTTTCTCTCTGTCTCTCTCTGTCTCTCTCTTTCTCTCTTTCTGTGTGTCCACCTCTATCGCCTCTTGTCTTGTGTCTCTCTTGCACTTGTGTCTGCCGTGTCGCCATCCCTGGGGGGGCTGCGATCTGCGAAATTGTCGCTCGATGACTGCGATCGGGACAGCAAAGTGGGCATTCACCGCAAATTCAATATACACGTCGCCATCCCTGGCGGGTGCGATGTGCGCAACTGTCGTCACTTTCGAGGGCTGCTGGATGGGCCACCATAGTGGGTATAGGCCGCAGATTCAAATTAGACCTCGCCATCCCGTGGAGGCTGCGATCTGCGAAGCTGTCGTCACCTTCGCGGGCTGCCGGAGGGCCAGTATAGTGGGTATGTGCTGCAGTTTCGAACTACGTAGATCTGACCATCTCTGGGGGGCTGCGATATGTGAAACCGTCGCCAGCTTGTCGCAAACTCAAATTCGACCTCGCCAACCCTGGGGGGCTGTCACTCTCGAGGGCTGGGGGGGGCAGCATGGTGGGTACTTGCCGCAGATTCGAATTCAGCCTCGCCACCTCTGGGGGGCTGCGATATGTGAAATCGTCGCCAGTTTCGAGGGCAGCTGGGGGGCCAGCATAGTGGGTTCTTGCCGCAGATTCGAATTAGACCTCGTCATCCCTAGGGTGCTGCGATGTGCCAATGTGTCGCCGCTTCCGAGGGCTGCTGGGGGGACCAGCATAAAAAGGGGGTTACTTGCCGTAGATTCAAATCGGACCTCGCCCTCCTCGGGGGGCTGCGATGTGCGAAACGGTTGCCACTTTCGATGGCTGCTGGGGTGGCCAGCATAGTAGCTGCACCTTTACGTGATGCTCTCCAGGCCACGAAGGTCGAGAATCTTCTTGTGATTCGGGACTCGGGGCTGCAGTTCTTTTCTCGCGGGCCGCCCGCGGACCTCGCGGCGCGCCTGCGCGCTTGTACCCCCCGTGCTGAGAAGTGTCGGGAATATGCCCAGCAGCTGGCAGAGCTGCTCGGTCTCGCGCAGTTCTTGCACTGACTGTGCCTGTTCGCTGGCGCGCCTCGAAACGTAGTCTCCCTCCTTTTTCTGCCCTCCTCTCGTCGCCATTTTCTCCCCTCCAGCTGCCCGTTCGCCTTCTCTCCTTAGTTGTCGCCCCTCTCTACCCGCCCGATTCAACGATCCAACAAACCACCTGTACCAAGTCCGTGTCACTTGATCAGTGTCCTGCGAGCCCCCGGACGCCGTTCGCATATTATAATATATATATATATATATATAATATTATATATATTATATATATATTCCTTCGGCACGTTATATTCCTTCGGCACGTTTCTACCAAACGGTTCTTGCCGCGCGTTGATCACGGGTTGGGTGCGTCTCCATGGTAATTCGGAGCAGGCTTCCCAGGGGCCTGTTTGGGCTGCAGAAGAACATCCCGCCTTCGGAGGCCCCCCCGCTTTCTGTAGTGCCCGAGTGGTTCCCGGGCTGGCTGGCCACGGAGACCATGCTAGGCCCACCGTGCCAGCGGGAGGCTTCTGAAATCAGAGAAGGGCCGCGGGAACCACGCCTTACAGTAGGCAGGTTTATGCGCATGTCGCTGTGTTGTCAGGCTCCGGGGGGGCCCATCGAACACCGATCGCCCCCTGATCGCCGATAGGGGGCCGGATAGTTCACCCGGCCCAGTTGGGCGCGGACTCGCTATCGGGTTAGGTTGCCGATTTATCGGCGATGTATCGCGGGGCCGTGGTAGCTCCGCAGCGTGAGGCTTGAGGAGGGCGATGATCATGCGAACATCGGACCGAACATTGACCACCGCCAGGGCATCCAGAAGTTTTACCAGCGATGTCAAGGAGTGTTTTGCTTGCTTGCCGTACCGCCGTACCGATTCGTCATCGGTGACATTGAGTCGCCATCCCCAATCGTCGCAGCTGTGATGTGACTGGATGGAAGTACTTGTCGATGATGTGACTGGGTGTAGGTATCTTTCGATGATCCTGAGGTTTGCTTCCAACTTCGCCGCTCGTGTCCTTCTTTTTCCAGACGTTTTTTTTTGGGTTTCTTTCTTTTCCGGCAGTTGAAACGACATTGCCGTTGCTCTTGCTAGTGGCAAAGCCCGTTGTCGTTCACGCTCACGTCTTATATTTGTCCTCGACTGTTGTAGGACCTTCTGGCTTCAGCCTGCGACGCATCACTCTTAATATTGTTGTTGCAGTCGTCACC